GCATTTCTGCTCCCTGGCGCTTGGCCACGCCCAAGCAAGAGGAGGCTAGAAGCCGCGGCTCGCGAAACCAGCAACAACTCTTGCCAAGGCAGCCACGCAATCACAAGTCAGTAAATTATCTTGTCTGAGACTGTGTCTCTTCTGAGTTGTTCTATTCCTTTCTCTGCATCCTTTCTTCTTCTCACTTGTCCTTTCACTTTTCTTTTGTCTCTTCTCACTCCAACCAAAAGGGAAATCGCAAGGGAGTCATATAGGGAAAGGAGACAACGTGAAGAAATAAGAAAGAATCATTTCCATATTGTCCCCTATTCCTGTCTCTAAATCTGCAGATTTTTCAGAATGGAAGGAGGGCTTCTTTCTCCCTCTCACTTTTCCTTTCGCTTTTTTTTATATTTTCTCACTCCAACCAAGAAGACAAGGGAGAGGGGTGAGAGATAGAACGCCCTTTACCTTCTCAAAACATAGAGAGGTGACGAAAATCAATCACGGAAACCTATCCTGCCTTCCTTCCTCTTTGTCTTTGGTTCGGAAAAGAAAGGAACGGCTACCAGCCTCCCTCCCGACTTACATCTTACATTCTCTTGTTTCGTCCTGCTCAACCGGAAAGAAGGTCTGCCTCCAGTCTTTCCTCGCCTCCCTGCTCACTATTATGAGTTCCTTTCTCTTCTCTTCTGTTGCTTACATTCTTCTCAAAAGTGTGAAAGGTGCGGGGGACATCCCTTTCACTTTGTCTCTTCTGGGGAAATTCCCAATTGCAGGAGGCTCTCTCTCCTTGTCTTTGTTCTGTGTTCATATAGGGAAAGAAGAAAGAAGATGAATGAATAAGAAAGAATCATGTCTATAATGTCCTCTATCCGTGTCTCTTGTGATTTCTTCAATTCCTATCTCTGCAGATTCTTCAAAATGGAAGGCGGACTTCTTCCTCCAACCAAAAGCGACCTTCTCAAAAAGAAGACAAGAGACGAACATCAATCACCGGAACCTGACTCCTAATCTCCTGTGTTTCCTTGCCTCTTTCCTCGCTATTCTCTCTTCCTTTCTTCTCTCCCGGTGCTTACATTCCCATCAACATGAAAATTGAGGGGGCAGCGCATCCCTTTCCTTTCCCCATCAAAGAAAGGCTGCCTTCCTATCCGCGTATGTTCTTCCCTCTTCCTTCCGAAAAGACTATAAGAGGTAGGGGTAAACAGAATGAAAGAGGAGTCTCCTGTTGCTTTCCGACTACCTTCTCACCACAAAAAGGAACCTTCCCACTCTTCCCTACTTTCTTTCTTTTATCTTTTTGCACTTTACGTTTCCCGCTGAGAAAATGAGACGTTTCCCACTGAGAAAATGAGACAATGATGACAATAAGGAAAAAAGATCACCTGCCTGTATTTTCAGACCTGTCCGCTGCATCTTTCCCTTTACATCGCAGATTGAAGGAAAGCAAAAAAGTCAGAGGGAAGAATCCCTTTCCCTACCTTTCCCAGTACATTCCTTGTGCTTTCCATGTTCTTTGGAATTGCTTTGTTCTTCAGCAAGGAAAAGCGCAACTTCCCTCTCAATTTCATGTTTCCATTTCTCCGATGTCTTTTTCATTCAAGAAGCAAGCGGAGGGGCTGCCTCCTGTGTTTCCTTGCCTCTTTCCTCGCTATTCTCTTTTCCTTTCTCTTCTCTTTTGGTGCTTACATTCTTCTCAAAAACGTGAAAGTTGCGGGGGCATCCCTTTCGCTTTCTCTTCTGGGGAAATTCCTAATTGCAGGGGGCTCTCTCCTTGTCTGTCTTCTTTTCTCATACATAGGGAAAGGAGAAAGAAGATGAAGAACTAGGAAAGAATCATTTCCACACATTCCTCTATTCCTACTGTCCGGAGATTGGCAAGCTTTCGGAAGCTCTGGTCTCTAGTCACGCCTGACCAAAGTCAACTTCCCGTGCGTGAGGGCCATATGTGAGGGGCCAGGAGGGGGGCAGAAAGTCCGGAATATGGTAGTGTTTCGAGTTTCAAAATCGTTTCCATAGTTTCAAATTAGTCTCAAGTCAGTTTCAAACTAGTTTCAAAATCCAGTTGAAATATCGCTGTTAAGGAGGAGCTGCAATTTCTGTCCGCGCTTGTTGAAAACCAGAACCTCTAGAGATTCCTGCATTTTTTGCAATTGCGCGTAGAAAAACGCAGTTTCCCCTTAACAACGATTTTGCAACTGGATTTTGAAACTATTTTGCAACTAGTCTGAAACTACAGAAACGAATTTGAAACTTGAAAAACGCAGCATTTCTGCTCCCTGGCGCTTGGCCACGCCCAAGCAAGAGGAGGCCAGAAGCTGCGGCTCGCGAAACACGCCTGGATCGAAAAGTGCACCTCCGACTTTCTTCCCAAAAGCCATTCCAGCAACAACTCTTGCCAAGGCAGCCACGCAATCACAAGTCAGCAAATTATCTTGTCTGAGACTGTGTCTCTTCTGAGTTTTTCTATTCCTATCTCTGCGTCCTTTCTCCTTCTCACTTTTCCTTTCACTTTTCTTTTGTCTCTTCTCACTCCAACCAAAAGGGAAATCGCAAGGGAGTCATATAGGGAAAGGAGACAACGTGAAGAAATAAGAAAGAATCATTTCCATATTGTCCCCTATTCCTGTCTCTAAATCTGTAGATTTTTCAGAATGGAAGGAGGGCTTCTTTCTCCCTCTCACTTTTCCTTTCGCTTTTCTTTATATTTTCTCACTCCAACCAAAAAGACAAGGGAGAGAGGTGGGAGATATAAAGCCCTTTACCTTCCCAAAACAGAAAAAAGTGACGAGAATCAATCAGGGAAACCTGGCTCCTAATCTCCTCGGTTTCCGCTCTTTCCTCGTTATTCTCTCTTCCTTTCTTCTCTGCTGGCGCTTGCATTCTTATCAAAATATGAAAGTTGCGGGGGCATCCCTTTCACTTTCTCCCTTCTACGGGCACTTCACTCCTTTTTTCCCACGATCTTCTTCGATCTTCCTTCCGAAAAAATTCGAAAAGGAAGCGATAGACCAGGGTGAAGGAGCAGTTTCCATCTTCGTTCCCGGCACCTTCTTATTCGTTCTTCTCTCTTATTATCTCTTTGTTTCTTTTCTTCCGCCCAAAACAGGAATTGCCGCAGGGCTCTCTCTCCTAATCTTTCTTCTTTACTCATATGGGAATGATAAAGAAGAAGAAATGAGAAAGAATCATGAGCTCTTCTTTTCGTATCTCTTCAGCATTTTCAGCATGGAAGGCGGGCCAGAGGCGAGAGAGTGCAAAGGGAAGAGACGCGAGAGATCAATGGGGACAAGCGAAGGGACGTGCGGGGAAAGGAGGGACAGCCCGGTCGAGACAAGCTCCCGAGAACCTGCGTGCAGGCAGGTGATCTTTCTTCACTTATCTTCATCATTGTCTCATTTTCTTAGTGGGAAACGTAGAATGCAAACAAGATAAAAGAAAGTCAAGGGAAGAAAGAGAAGGGTTCCTTTTTGTGGTGAGAAGGTAGTCGGAAAGCAAAAGGAGACTCCTCTTTCATTCTGTTTATCCCTGCCTCTTATAGTCTTTTTCGGAAGGAAGAGAAAAGAAAATATGCGGATAGGAAGGGAGCCTTTCTTCGATGGGAAAAGTGAAAGAAATGCCCCCGCACCTGTCACACAAAGCAACAGAAGAGAAAAGAAAGGAAGTTATAACAGTGCAGAAGGAGGCGAGGAAACACTAGAGGCCGCCCTTCTTCTGTCCGTTTGAGCGTGACGAAACAAAAGAAATGGAAAGATGAAAGTCGGGAGGGGGGCTGGTAGCTGTTCCTTTCTTTTCCGAACCAGGATTCCAGGATAGCGAAGGAAATAGTAGGGAAAGGCCCTCTTTCTTCTTTCGTGTTTATTTATGTCTGCACTGTGCAAAGAAAAGAAGGCGGGGACAGGCCGTTTAGAAATGAAAGCAGGCGATCTTTTCATCCATTTTGGTCACCTTTCTATTTATTGAGCTGTAAGGGGCTCTCTATCTCTCACCTCTCTCCCTTGTCTTCTCCCTTCTGCTTGGAGTGAGAAAAGAAAAGTGAAAGGAAAAGTGAGAGGGAAAATGAAGCCCTCCTTCCATTCTGAAAAATCAGCAGAGATAGGAATAGAAGAACTCCGAAGATAGGAACACAGGAACGTCTGCACATGATTCTTTCTTTTTCCTCCTTTTCTTTCTAGATTCTGGGTTTAGGAGTTAGAGTTTAGGAAATACGGTATAGAGTTTCTTGTGTAGGGTTTTAGAGTGTACGAATTTGTGGTCAGGGTTCCGGGCTTAGGGTCTGAGATTGCAAGAGCCAAAACATTTATCAGTCCGAAATGAGTTGTCTAAGTGCGCATATGCGTGAGACGTTGTTGGAGAAGTAGCTGGGTTGTCTTGGATATGCTAAAATTGATTAATAATCCCAGGCGGTAGCTTCTAAATAGACCCTATTTTGCTCAGCCACACCCCCCCCCCCCCCCCCCCCCGCCCCGCCCCACCCCCCCCCCCCCCCCCCACCCCCCCCCCCCCACCCCCCCCCAACCCCCCCAACCCCCCCCCCCCCCCCCCCCACCCCCCCCCCACCCCCTTACGCGCCCCCAGGGTTTAAGGTTTAGAGTTTAAGGTTTGTGGGTTTGTGTTTAGGGGAGGGGCATTTAGGGTTTAGGGGAGGGAGGGGGGAGGGGGGGTGGCATACCTTGTGGTGGGGGGCGGGGGGAGGCGGTGAACAGGCGAACCGCAATCACATTTGCGGACATATTTTTTGTATACACATACATAGACATGCATAGACTGCATATTACTCCATATTACTCCATATTACTGCATATTTCCGCGTTATGGCAACTTAGTTTCTCGTCGCACCCCTAGAATTGGGCTTGCGGGAGCACTGAGCTCTTCTTACTTGAACACGCCCATGAAGACGCTGGGCACCAGACAACTCGGCACAGTGATCACAAGCTTTTTTGCGTGGGGATGTTTTGGGGGAATCTCTATCAACCCTAAATCCTAAACCCTAAACCCTAAACCCCAGTCGGGCAGGCCTGTCGGCCTTGCAGCATGCGCTCACGGCGGTATTTCGACAAACGCTATCGCAACGAATGCCGCAGTCTCGCCTCTGCTTGTGTGTGGCCGGGCCCAGGGCGCATGAAGTGCTGTGTATCAGCATCGCCAAAGTAAAACGCCGAGCCCTATAAACCCTAAATCCTATACACCCAAGATGAGATGGAAGACAACTCCGCAAAAGTGGACAACTAACTCTTACTTCACCCTCTTAACCTTCCCTTTGCTCTCAACCAAATCTTTAAACCTTCAACACGAGCTTGATGTGAGCTCCACATGTCCCAAACACCGCCAAACCCTTCAAGCCTCAAACGTGACTCTGCAAATTCCCAGAAGCACATCTAAGTATTCCCCTTAACCAGTGCCCTGCGCCAAACCCTTGGGAACAAAATAGGGTTGTCATCCAGTGGCTTCATCAGCCCTAAACCCTAAACCCGAACCCCCCCCCCCAACAAGGGACTCCTTCACCCACCAGTCGAAGAACCCTCACCCTACTGCCCGAGTTTTCTCAGGGGAGGGCGTTCTCCTTTGTGTCTTTGACTTCGGGCAAGGGTGTATAGGGTACCCCCAATAATCTTAGAGGCTGGCTGCGCGGAGCACCTTAGCCTCCGAGTCACAGCTGGGCGCTCTTGGCCATCGCCTCGGCCCATCTCCCGGGCCTCTCGCAAGCCTGGGGGCTTCAAGGTTTCAGAGTCTGAAGGGTTCAGGGTTTCTGAGCTGACGAATTAAAGTTTCAAAGTTACAGGCTTGCTTGGATATCCATGGTTTAGGGGTTCGGGATTGAGGATGTAGAATTATGCGCTTGGTGTATTGGGCGGCGGCGGGGGAGGGAGGGGAACGGGGGTGGCCATGTGTGGTTCGGCTGTAAACAAATCCAAGGTGGAGGCCTTGGAGCCGGCAGAGGGGGGCTCTTTAAAACACAGAGGAGTGCCCCTCTGATTCTTTGTTGCTCTTAATTTTTTTTGCGCAGCATTTGTGTCGCCCCAGGACTACTCCTCCGACTCTTCCTTTGGACTGTGGAGTTCCAGGCTTGGACTGCGGAGTGCCGAATCTGGTACCGTGGCAGACCACCTTGCACCCTCAGCAGGTGCTACATGCTGACGCAAACATGCTGACGCAAAGATGTGGCTTGTTATGATAGCTTGCATTGTAGAAACTGCTTGAAAAATTGGGCTCCTAGTCGGGAGCCTCATTTCGAGCAGACTCCCCAGACGTAGGCGGCGTAAAGCCACCGAGCACTCACAGGTTGCAACGATGGTCGAAGCCCGGCAGTTTGTTTAAGGTTGTTTAGGGCGCGGGGTTTGTGCAGGGTTTTCAAAAGCCTTAAAAGCCCTGAAGATCGTCTGGTTGCGCCAGGCTACAGCCATGCACGAAGCACAGGAGACCACGTCGGTGCGAATGGCTGCTTGCCGAGCGCCTCGTCAGCTCACAAAGCAAAGCAAGGTGTTGAACAAGCTAAAGCCGACATCCCAAACCCTGAGGCTGTAATTCATGGAATTACCTACGAACCTTCAACTGGTGCAAGCCGACAACATCTTCCGATTGAGCTGGAAGGAAACACATCTGACTGGCGGCGGTGGCCCCACCATTCCCCCTACGAAGTGCAACGAGGCATCGCTAGTTTCCTGCTTTTCGGTCGAGGGTCTTTGCATGATGCTGAGGCTTGTCCGCCAAGTCGTGCAGCTCGCTAACCTCACGCAAATGCAGAGTTTGGAGCATCCTTAAGCTCGACAAGCCCTGAGATCCGCAAAGTTCAGGTACAGCTTCTGGAGCCAAACAACTCATCCTCAAGACTCTGAATACATGCAGCCTGGAATCATGGTGTTGATGGACACCTCGCTGGTAATCCAATGAAGTGGGAGGCGCTTTTGCTGTTTTGGAATCAGGGTTTAGGGGCTTGGGATAGTCGGATGGTCTGCAGAGTCTGCTGGGTGCTGCTATTGAAAAGGAAATGGCCCGAAATATTCTGCAGATTCTATGGCCCTGTTTCGCAGGAAGAACGAAAACCCGGCCATTTTGCTTGCAACCCTAAACCCTAAACCCCAAATCCCAAGCCCCAAACCGCAAACCCCAAACCCTAAACCCTACAGACTCGACATCAAGTGTCCTTCAATAGCTTCAGGTTCGTCAGAAACACAGCAACACAGGGAAACTGGCGCAGCAGGCAACGAAGCCAGGTCTTCTGCAGAAGCTGAGAGGAATCCCCTAAACCCGAAACCCCCGAAGCCTCGACACCGGTAAAGATAACAGGAATCGGAATCCTATTGAAACTCGTAGGAATCCTATTAAGACTCATAGGAATCCTAAGAAAATACAATCACCATTCTTCAAGCCAGCTGTCTTCACACCCTTGCCTGGTCGAGGTCCAACCCCTGTTCCTTCCGACAACGGGCAGTGTGGGAAGGACGTCTACACGCGGCCTCGAAACCCTCCAAACCCTAAAACGCCTAACCTCTCAACTCCCGAAACCTTGAACATGCCGCGTTGACGAACGTGGGACTTTTCAGGGCATCTTCAAGAAGACCTCATCTAGGTTCCCCAGTAACACAAGAATGAAACAGGGCACCTGTTCTTGACGCAATGGAACAGAATTTTTTAAACGACAAGGGAATAAGGGTACTACTGGTCACTCTTGCAAGTGAAGACCGATTTTGCAAACATCCGGGCCGGAACCCTCCAAAACACAGCCGGGTTTGGGGCTTACGCCCGTGGCCTGGAGGTGCTGCAACAGCCAAGCAGTCTCCTCCCACTGCCCGAGCTTCGCCGACACATCCTTAGTGGCATCTCGTGGTTTGGGGGCTTTCTTCGCGTGTTGAGAGTTCATGGGTTCGGTCGGTTCGGTAACTGAAGTCTGCCTAAGAGGTGTGTCTCGGCTCCGCTGCTGCTCTTTGATTTCGGCTTCACTTGTCTTCAACTGGTCGCACAGTTCATCGCCCATCGCTGCTTGCGCTCCTCTTCGATCCCATGCCCCGCTTGTTTAGGGTTTAGGGTTTAGGGATTAGGGTGCCATGTCAATCCGGCCTGGCAATCCAAGTGGCGGCAGCCGTGTTGAAGGACACTACGTCCGGCTCCAGCTTCCTCTTCTTAAAGTCCCCGAGACGCTGAGCTCCTGCTTAGGGGTATGTTACTACGAAGTGCTTAAGAACCCCCCAAAAAATATAATATAATTCCTTACTAAGGGTCATACAGGGATTATTCTTTTGTATTCTTTTGGGGCTCTTAAGCAAATAATAATATATTAGAGTGCTCAAGGTTTAGGGCCTGAGGGCGGCATAGGGTACTAAATCGGTTTGTTGCTTGTCAGGAGGGTTTGGGCCAAGGTTTCTGTACCTTAAGCTTTGGCCGTAGCCTGAGACCTAAGATGCCCCCCCGGGAGCCTGACCCGAATTTAGAGCATCCTCCCCCTGGCAACTGTGGGCTTTCAGCATACGCCCGCACACAAACAAAAACACACACACACACACACACACACACATGCGAGTGCGCGGGGCTCCTGCAGCCACGGCGGCGTTCAGAACGACGGTGTTGATTGGGATCTGTGAATAAGGCACGTTTGAAGCTGCAGTGGTGCATGCCCATGTACATCCTTGCAGCGGCATGTTTATATGAAAGTGCGATGAAGCTGAATCCCAGAAGTAGGCTTTGAACAAGTTAGCAAGCAGACAAGGTCAGGTGAGTCATGAGTTTCTTAAGCTCAGGCAATTTGCACCATATAAGCCGTCTTATGACAAGTGCAGCCTCGTTTTGCTGCCAGCGCCCAGACAATGCTGTATTACAGGTGCGTCGCACCTCTGAACTGTTGCCGTGGCCGTGCTGTGTTGTTGCATGGTTTCGGTTGGCGCACTTCAGGGTATTTTGCCGCGGCGAGTAAAGACGACGCCTGGTCACTTCGGTCGAGCAGTTGAGCAGTGGCGACGATATCGATATTCGCCTCAGAGACGGCAGCACCGAGGCCAGAGTGATGACGACCGTTGGCATGGAATTCAGTAGTCGGCCAGCAATCGGCCGTAGCCGTCGAAGCGATCGTCAATTCCAGCCAGCCGCAGGCAATCCCAGATCATGGCTTGGTTGCTGCAAATCGCCGGTTTACCGGCCCGCACCTCGATTTCTCCGATGACGTCGAGCGTGCGCAAAGCACCACAGGAAACGAAAATGGCATCGGCATCGGCGCGATCCTGCGCCAGCGCGAATTCGACCAGATAGTCGGGTGCGACACGCACCATGTCGCTGTCCTTTTCCAGGTTGAGCCCGCACATCGAGAGCACCTCGAAGCCGGCCTGCTCGAGATAATCGACTTCACGCCGGTTGACCTCGTCAAGATATGGCGTTGCAACGACGATGCGTTTTGCCTTGAGCAGTCGCAGAGCCCGGATGACTCCCGAAATCAGCGAGGTCGCCCGGGCGCCGGGTGCACCGCGCTTGAGTTCGGCGAACACGCGCTCTTCGCCAATGACCAGGCTGCCGGAAGTGCAGGCGTAACAAACGACATCGAGACTGCCGTCCGGCAATAGCGTCGCCGCACAATCGGCCAGCAGGTCGGCCTGCGCGGCCAGCGAGTCGTTGGTGATCGAGTCCGAGTTCGCGACCCGCGTGAAGTGCACACCCACGCCTGGGGGGCGCAGCTGCATGACGTCGTCCTGTACCGTTTGCTCGGTGGCAAGCAGGACGTAGCCGATCTTGGCCCTGGCATGGCGGCCATCATCAAAGCGAATTTGCGCAGGTGGCGACGCAATAACCTGGTCAGCGGACATTCGAAACCGTTTGCGGGACCTGCTAGGGGAGCTGTTTCCACAAATCCCGAAGCCTGACCGAGCCAAACTGTTGCGGAAAAGCATGTACAGAAGCCCAAACCATCCAGTTTTGACTCCTAGGTTCCATGGGAACATCAGATCACTACTTGTCCTCATGCCTGTGGCAGCCCAACAGCCTCAGCCCCCAATCGCTAAATAACTAAATCGAAGCACGTACTGCCAGGGGACTAAATGAACCCTCAAAGGGTTTATGCTTCATGTACCTTAATAGGAATTATTTGGTTTGTATTTATATCACCTTGATAGGAGTTATCGTAGTCAGGGTATATGACCCCCATTTTAGGGTTCATTTGCTGAACCCATACCCTTTTTGGGTTAAACGGGCTAAAAAGGGAACCTAAACCCAAAAACAAGGGAATAAGGGCCTACGCTGGGTAAGACCCCAAACCCTAAACCTAAACCCTAACCCCCAAACCCCAAACCCTAAACCCCAAACCCTAAACCCTAAACCCTTAGTCTCCATGCCCCCCTCCGGCCCCGGGGGCTGCCAGGAGCGCAGTGCTGTGGAGCCATGGCGCCTTCAAGGCAGACACCACCTCGAAGGCTTCTAGGGCCAAACCCCTAGGGTTTAGGGTTCGGGTCTAGGGTCTAGGGTTTGGGGTTTTGGGGTTTGGGGTTTGGGGTTTGGGGTTTGGGCTTTGGGCTTTGGGGTTTGGGCTTTAGGGTTCCTGAATCCCATCTGAACCACTGCTACGGGGTGCTTGGGGGGTGCGTTTTGGCTCTATAAACCTGTGGGCTTAGGGTTGAGTTCTGGTTCCCTAAACATTTATCGACGAGGGACTGTCCGGCAAGAAATAGCCACGCCGCAGGCACCGCTGCACCTGCATGGTGCTACACCCAAGGATTTCCCCGAACCCTGCACCAAGATCTCCTCTAAACCCGAGAGCCTAGCCATATCATAGACCTAATCCTACGCCCCCCAAATAGTCCTCCCCCTGCCCTGGTGTAGGGATGTATGGAAGCATGGAAGCAGGACATAAAAGAGCTGGGGATAAAGAAAAACCGGACTCAAGGCGACGAAGGTAGCACAAATGCAGAATTGAGAAGCTGGGACTTGAGGGTGTCAGAGACGCCCCGTCCAAGCAATGTGCGATTTTGGTTGAAAGTGAAAAGTTTTGAAAAGCCGATGCCTCACGTCGCACCCCTACAGTCCTCTTAGTGGTGGCTTACAAGAGTCGGAGAATCGCTCTGCCCCTTGAAGATGGCCCCACTGTGCCTCTTGGGCCTAGAACTGTGCCTCTTGGGCCTAGAACAGCTGAGTATCAGGCTTCTGGCTTCCAGCTCAAAGTACTGCAGAGCTACACTAAACCCAAACCCCTCAACCCGGTTCCTCGAACCCTTTGCTTGCATGAGGCTGTAGAGTTTTCCTGAAGGTTGCGTAGTGGTGGCAGTATTCAGCATGTACGGAGCGCCCTCTGTAAAGCTCCACCCCGAGGTATCAAGCTGTCACACAGTCATGGCGCCACATGAGGGCGAAGGCTTCTTGCCACTTCGAGCTCCGGGCGCGCGCGGACCTCCATCACAAGAACAATAAAAGGAATGACACTAAAACGAATCATATTGCGAGCAACAAAAGCTTTAACAGCAACAATAATAACAGTGACAGTGGTCGTATATTCGTAGATGGGTGAGAGCAATCGGCGCAGCCGCACTCAGAAACAGCAACAGTAACAGCTTTTGAATGGCCCAAGTAAATACTGGTAGTGGATTAAACATAAATAGTAAATAGTAAATAGTAAAGTAAATGGTAAATAGCAAGTAGTAAATATAGCAGCAAACAGCACCAGCAATCACACGACTACAGCAACAGTAACTGCAAAAGCACAACCATATTAATTATGCCAAAAGCACAACCATATTAATTATGCTACTACCAGTAATTATGAATGATCATCTGCTGCTGCTGCTGCTGCTGCTGCTGCTGCTGCTGAGGAGGATGATGATGATGGCGAAATTTGAACACACACACACACACAGACACACACACACACACACACACACACACACACACACACACACACACACACACACACACACACACACACACACACACACACCACACACACACACACACACACACACACACACACACACACACACACACACACACACACACACACACACACACACACACACACACACACACACACACACACACACACACCCCCCCCCCCCCCCCCCCCACCACCACCCCACGCCCCGAACCCAACTCCAAATCGCAAGTTCCCTGAACCGTTCCACCCTATCTCTCCTGCTTAGCCCGAAACCAAACCAGAGGAATACCGCAGCCCGACGTTGCCAAATAAAAAACCCTAAGCTAAGCCCTAAACCTGCAGGCCCAGATGCACAATGACATTCAGCATCGCCACGTCCGGTTCTGGACCAAGCTTCCACAGCCTCCTCAGGGTGTGCATCAGGGTCAGGGTGAACATCTTTATTTCTGAGCAATTGCTTTGAACTCATATGTTCATATGATTCATATTGTTGATGCTGTTGTATAGAATATAATCTTGGGTTTAGGGATCGGGGTGTCGAGATTGAGGTTTAGGGATTAACACTTGGAACTTTCAGGGTTTCGGGTTTGGAGTCTGAATGATCAGACAACCCATGCCCTACACCCGAAGCCCCCAAACCCTGCAACCGCTGCCAGTCCCTGAAGCCTGTGATGCTCACAGCCCAAGCCGGGACCACCGCAACTGAACTTGGCGAAGCACCTCATAGACCTCATAGTTTGTAATAACAAATAGGTTACACTTAGTAGATGACTAAAGCACTAAAGGACACTATTGAATTCACACAAAGTAGGTAAGTGTTAAGAAGAAACCTTGCACCCCAGACCCCTAAAGCCCTGACTCCTTCAGCCCAGCAACTGGAAGCAGAGCGTCGCCTTTCCCCAGGGCGCGCGGACAGCTCCGCTCAGGAGCGCAGTTGCAGCCACTCTGAGATCGGGCTTAGGGTTTAGGGCTTAGGATGGCTTAGGGTTTGAGTGCTCTTGTTTTCGGGGGTTTAGTAGGTCCCTGAGAGTCTATGACTTGCTTTTCGGGCTGGTGTTGGAGGCTTACAACCTCGCTGGCTTGGTGTTTAGGGGTGTTATAGAGAAACGTGTGAGGGGTTGAGAGGGCTTGGGAATCTGCAGTCTAGAGTGCGCGGGTTTAGCACAGAAGTCCAGCGCCGCTCCTTGCAAGAAGAGGCACGTGTCTAGACGCAAGCCGGTGGCTTCTGCACGGCGTGCAACGTCCTTAGGTGAAGGGGTGGACTAAGGCTTCAAAAAAGACCCGCAAAGGGAACTGGTGCTGGTGCGTGCACGGGATGTCTCAAACCTCCCTCCTCTGCCCAACTACCCCTCAGACCAGCGGGGCCCTTATCCAAATGTTCCATCGCAAGGTACAGAACCTTCTGCCATCCACAAGCGCTACTCGCACAGAATCCGAGACTGCAAAATGCCAACTTCTTCAAAACTTGGGGGCTCTTGAAAGGCTTTGAGGGTTTGCAGGGCCCTGATCTGAAAGCAAGCAAAGGGACCACGGCCTGCTTCCAGCGACTCAGTCGGGCGAGCTTCGAGATGGAGGACGTCAGCTGGGGCAGCGCGTTGGGAACGGCAACCTGAACCGGCGCCCTGACTTCAGAATGTGGACCCCAAAGAACAGTTTGAGTTAAAACCATGTCTTCCCATATCCATGATAACTAAGGGGCGTTGGCTCTGGTCCCCCTTCCCGCCATTTTGAAACCCGCCACCTTGCAACAGTACAAACATTGAGACATCTCCGGGTGAAGCCACTGTAGGGGTCGGAATAAGTTTATAAGAGTATTCTGTCATGTTCCCTATATAAAGCCCTATTCTCATTCTTAAGGCTCCCATATTGGAGCATTTAGGCTCCAAGAAGGAGAGCATCAGATTCAGAGCCGCGCGCAATGTGAGCGGGACAGGACCCTAAACCCTAAACCCTAAACCTTAAACCCTAAACCTTAAACCCTAAACCCCCTCAACTACGTTCCAAACCCTAGGTTGCCCTAAGCCCGACATGCCGGCACAGCTTTCTGAATCCTGACCTCTGAAACCCTCTACTGTACCTCCTGCGCCGAGGACCTGAAGCCAACGACCGGAGGATCTGCAGTTGAGGGATTGCGGGGTTTAGGGTTTAGGGTTTATAGGGTTAGGGTTTAGGGTTTAGGGTTTAGGGTTTAGGGTCTAGGGTCTAGGGTCTAGGGTCTAGGGTCTAGGGTCTAGGGTCTAGGGTCTAGGGTCTAGGGTTTAGGGTTTAGGGTTTAGGGTTTAGGGTTTAGGGTTTAGGGTTTAGGGTTTAGGGTTTAGGGTTTAGGGTTTAGGGCTTGGGGTTCGCGTTTGGGGTTTAGGGCGTCGGGTCGGGTCGCAGATTCTGCGTGGAGACCCTTTCAACAGGAGCCTGCTCCATCGGCCCGCCGCTACCCGGCCGTGGCGCTGGTGCTCCTTGCAGGCCATATCCCAACCCTTCAACCCCCCTAAACCCTAAACCCTAAACCCTAAACCCTAAACCCTAAACCCTAAACCCTAAACCCTAAACCCTAAACGCTCCAGACTCTGAAGCCGCAAAATGGAACCCGTAACCCACCAGCCCCACAAGCTCATCTCAAGGCCAACAGCCGGATGTTCGAGCGCTAGAGGTTTTGGATTTTCTAGCCATAGGGTCGGAGTCGACGGTCGGAGCTTCAGTACATGCACATGGGCAAATTCCTGAACTAGGAACTACCCACATGTTGGTGTCTTCTCAAGCTTCCTCTTGGGCCTTCTTTCGAGTGGATAGGCTCTCAGATTTGAAGCCGCAAACCCGATACTAACCTTGATTACACCCGGTTGGCAGTAGAGATCCCTCCATGCCATGGGTCTCAAGGAGGTTATAGCCACTTAGGACTAGAGCTAGGATCAGCTAGAAGAATCCACGAAGCTCCAAGCAAGCCCCGAGAAACACACAAAAAACAAACAAGCACCCTAAGCTCTTCAGGGCGAAAACAACACAAACATAGCTAAAACAAGCCGAAGCCCGCACTACTTTAGGATCCCCATGACACGGACCCAAGCCCTAAACCCTTCAGGTGTCAGAGAGCTTCGAGCTTACAGCCTTTTAGGGTCTACAAGGTGTCACAAATTGAAAAAACTACAGGGTACTCTTCGTCTTTTCTACATTTTTTGGGGGGGAGGCCTTCTTAATCAGGAATCGAAAAATGTTGGGGTGTGCAACCCTAAACCCTTAAACCCTAGCTTTTTGGGGAAATCCCCCATCTCCAGCAAGGGGGCCTCGTGTGGCCCACGGAGATCCAGGGCATCGCTCTTCTCAGTTTGGGCCATGTCCCAGCTGCTTGGCCTGGTTTGGGTTTAGGGTTTAGGGTTTAGGGTTTAGGGTTTAGGGTTTAGGGTTTAGGGTTTAGGGTTTAGGGTTTAGGGTTTAGGGTTTAGGGTTTAGGGTTTAGGGTTTAGGGTTTAGGGTTTAGGGTGTGCAACAGATTTTGCAGCAGTTCCTGTTGTTTTTGTCTGAAATCGAAACACCCTAACCGAACTTGGTCTATACTATAGTTGACTAGAGAGTAGAGTAAGGAGATTTTGCAGCAGTTCCTGAGATTATGGTTTGTCAAACCGAGACATGTGCAACAGTTTTGCAGCAGTTCCTGGTGTTTGTTCTGAAATCGAACCATCCTGAGATTCCATCGCAACTTTGCAAAGTATGTCCTTTTTACCGACTCCTAGTGACCTCACTGAGCCAATCCCTTTGGGGGGGGGCATGATCATGGGCATGATCATCCTCATGCCGGGGAAGTGGGTTAGGCTGCAAGTGTACAACCTTAGTTTAGGGTTTAGGGTTTAGGGTTTAGGGTTTAGGGTTTAGGGTTTAGGGTTTAGGGTTTAGGGTTTAGGGTTTAGGGTTTAGGGGCTTAGGTCACTCCCGTGTTTACGTGTGGCACTTTGGGGGGTTGCTGAAATTAGGGGGTTTGCGGGGTCCCTTTCAGGGGATTCTATTCTGCTATTTGGGGCACAAAAGGGGGTACCCCTATTTGGGGAAAGAACCATTCAGAGTTGAGCGGAAGCTTAGGGGTTTAGGCCCCCTAAGGCAAAATCAACGGCGCCCAGCCTCGTCTCCGAAGTCGAGCTGTGCACTGCAACTGCCAGCCATGGCCGTCGAGGCATCCGGCTGCCCATGACTATCAGGGTTCAGGGTTTAGGGCTTAGGGAGTATAGTTTGTAGGGTAAGGGGAGGTTTGGGGTTTAGAGTTAGGGGGTTGAGGAAAGAAGGGATTTAGAGCTTAGGGTGTGGGGCGTTGAGGAATGAGGGGCTTTGGGTTGAATGGGGTTTAGAGTCTAGAGCTTTATTGAATAATGGCTAGGACCCTATAATCCCTAATTCAGCGGTAGGGTAGCTCCAGAAATATGTCTTGTCTCAGTAAGCCTATTTGGAATCTCAATCCTACTTCTCATCTGGTCTGGGGCATCTACGCCACCCTTCAAGGAGCAAAGGAACTAATTCCGTGGCCTGGATTTTTTTCCCAAGTTTTAATCAGGGTTCCAAGGAGTTTTGGGGTTGCGATTTTCTGGAGGGTGGGTGGATGGGAGGCTTGAGCTCTTGGGTCCAGGGCTTCGTATCAATGGCTGAAGGTCCACAACCATCTGATCAACTTCGCAAGCTCTTGTCCCAGAAATCGCACCCGAGAAGTCCCAGAAGGCTCGAAGCCGGGCTTATGGTTACAAAGTCCCACAACACAGAAAAACTCTAGGCACTTGAGAACGACCAAGGCTGTTTTTTCCGACATGGAGAGAACTCACTAGTGCGATAATCAAACATCGAGCCTGGTCCTAGCCGCTGTAGGAGGGCTCGCGGAAAAACCAGGGGGGATTATATGGGCCTATGCCAGTGATACTGGAAGTTTACATCGCCAGGCCCGCGTCGTTGCACCAAAGGACTCCTCGTAAGGTCATTGTAATCATTGTAGGGCGCATTGAGATTGACCGTCTCGGAAGAAGGAGTCGGAAAGTTGAAGTTCCTCAGGGGTGGCGAACAGGGGCGCGTGGCCCTTGTCGGGAACTTCAACCAGCCGAACAGGGCAGGCCAGCCCTCGCGACGCCAGCTTCTGGTGGCCCTCCTCAAGCAGCAGCATCGATTTCGTCCCGCGGACAGCGAGGATCTCCTTCGCCGTGCACTTGTCGTATTCCGTCCATGGATCGTCACTCTCACTGACGAGCCGCGTGGCACGCTGCTGTACGATGGTACCGATCCGCGGATCGAAGTGCAGCGTGTAGCGCCCGTCCGGCAGGCGCCGGTAGATATGCTGGGTACTAAGAGTAAAGTCCAGCTCCCCCTCTGCAGGGCCGACCGCTACCTCGTACATGCGGCGGAGGTGGGCGACGAGGTCCGTGAACTTGTCCATGATCGGCTGGTTGCCTGCGTTCTTTGCGATCTCCTGAATTGCTGCCTGGTTCAGCTCCGGGCCGATGTCATTGAGAAGGAGCTTGCGGATACGCCCGTCGAGTGGACCGCCTGCGGTGCACGCATTGATCGCAATGATGCCACCCATGCTTGTGCCGAACCAGTCGACGATAGCGTTCTCGCCGCATGTCTTGCTTACGAACTCCCCAGCCTGCTTCGCATAGCTTCGCACGGAGTATTCCTCCATCTCGACGGCCCATTGAGACAAGCCACGCCCCAAAGTATCTGGGCACAGCACACGGTAGATGTCACTGTAGTACTTTGCGGGAATGTCGAAATCTCGGGCACACCGCGTGAGGCCGTGCCACATAATGAGTACAGGCTTATCCGGCCAGGACGCGTCAGCTCCCCACTCGGTGTAGTGCATCTCACGACCACAGACCTCAACGAAGCAGCTTTTCATGGCCATGGCTGCGCTGAGCCTGGGCCGACATCCAAGAACTTGATGACCCTGGCCGTAGGGGTCTTGACATCAGCAACAAGCCAGGAGCTTTATTACCAGACAAAAACAAAGCGATGTCTGCAGGCTTTCTTTTATGGGGTTCGCAGAGTGGAAGTGATCGGGGATGGCGGTGTTCAGGATCTCGGAGGCGACAGTAGGTCAGGGAGCAGAAAGTGGGGGGGGGGGGCTCACTTATTGTTAATGTCGCTCTTGAAAACCGCAAGGCTCTAAGTATATGATCTACCGAGACCTTTTTCTCCCGGCGCTTGAGTGTGAAGAAACCGCCTCTCCAGCGCCTCGAGGGATTCTAGGAGCTGAGGTACCTGCCATCAAGGAAGGCTTCACCTTGAGAACTCCAAGCCTGTATTCTGCGCAATTGCGATAGATAGGTAGGTAATAAAGCCACCGGCGAACTGTTTGGTAGTGAGCTCCGTAGGGCCTGCCACGGGCCTAAGGCGCCGATACAGCCCCCAAGGATCCTGTGTGGACGCCCCAAAAGAATTCGGGCACCACCCATGTGTAGGGCTTAGTTTCTTCACGGAGCCAAGGCAGGAATCAGGCCTAAAGGATTTGGGCCGTATGAAGGGCATTGGACTCAGCCTGGGACAGTCTCAGGGCTACCCTAACACCTAAACCCTACACCCTACACCTCGGGCCTTGAGGGCCATGGAAGACAGGAAAACATCAGGGCCCAAAGGCTCTTGGCCGTAAGGCTTCCGGTGGCCCCCCCCCCCCCTCTGCCCTTTCCCCCCTGCTTTTTTGTTTTCGTTGGGGCGTGGGTCGTTTGTAGAGCGGGCCCCCCTGCAAGTGAGTAAAAAACCACCGCAAAGTCGAAAGATGCCCCCAGATTGGTTCCGAAGAGGAAAATATACACAAATATACCACCATCTGCCCAACTCGAGTCATAGCAACCTCTTCCTGAACCCAAAGAAGCACCAAGAATTGGAGACGTGAACCCATAGGGCTGAGGACCGAGCTCGAGCGGGCTGAGCTGACCGCTCGCAGTCCTCCAGAACCTCGTGCTGAGGGCTTCCACAACACCCGAAAACTCCAGAAGGGTTTAGGGCGTAACAGGGTTACTACCCTAAACCCTAAACTGGTAGGGTTCAGGGTGTAAGGGGATTACTACCCGAAACCCTAAACTGGTACTGTAGGGTCCATGAGGCTGGGGCGCCGGCTGGGGGCCACGCCGCAGCTGCAACCCCATCGTCGGCAGCGCCTGCACAAGGTCAGCAAACAAGCTGCATAAACCATACAAGCTGTATGTAGCCTAAGTACCTCAACCCTAAACTCCTACCACACAGGAGCATCCACACAGCCTCATGCACCCATCCCGAAGCATGAGCTTGCGGCAACCGGAGGCTCAAAGCCTAAACGTCATACCCTAAACCACCGAGATGTCGAAATTTGGGATCTGACCCCGATTGCCTTGAAGCCGTGTGCAAACATGCGTGTCCAAACCAGCCCTTAAAACAACCAGAGTACCCAGCCCTCAATCTCAAGCTCCAAACCCCAATCTCCAGATCCCAAACCGAGAGCCTAAACCCCAAACCAAAACCTACAAACTCTGAAGACACCCCTGCTGGCAAGGGCCCGGACCCAGCTTATCCAGAAGGTCGAGGCTCAGTTGCCATTGCCTTTATTTTCAGTGGTTGGAAGGTTTCGGGGTGGGGGGGTTTGGGGTTCGAGCATTTGGAGTTTCCGGCTCAGGGCGTAGGATTTGGGGCGATTTTTTTGGTGCGGGATGTACGGAGGTCCTGGAATTTGTGGGGTGCAAAGTGAGGGAACTTCATGGCAGTTCAGGGAATTCAATACGTATAGGCATTTCTGGGGGTTCCTCTCAACCCCAGCACCCAATCCTTTAGGGGCCTAACTGTTTTTGTGGGTCATAGTTCTAAACGTCCTTTATGAGATTCTCAGATGAGCCGCTCAGAAAAAGGCTGGGTTTCCCAGTGTAAGCCCCTAAACGGAGAGAGGAGAGCACCAAGGACAGAAAGAGAGAGTGGGGAGGGAGAGCGAGAGAGGAGGCACAAGACCATGCAAACTGAGGGTTCCCTTTTTAGCGGGAGTGGCGCCTGCTGCAGGATGCAATTGCAGCAATCCGCGTCAGTACCTGGACTAGTCCCGAACTCTGACCCAAACTCCCACAATCGAACTCCTCAAAAGTAAAATTCAAGGCCTGAACTCTCAATCAGGAGACCAGCAGCGGAAGTATACACCCCCCCCAAGCCGAATGTTACGTAGCCGAAAGACTGCAGACAGCACCCAAATCCCAAACCCAGATCCTGAACCCCAAAAAACCCTAAGCCCTCAACCCCTAAAGACCACATCTGCGTAATCAATGTCACGAACATGACCCTCTTAGAAGACCGAGGCTTGGGATGAGAGGGCTGCCCGAAACCCTGAACCTTAAACCCTTCCACCCTTGCAACATTTGAAGGCTCTGAGCTTCCAGTGTTTGCAGTCCAGCCCCTTGGGGGGGAGTCGAGGGGAAGAGGCTCAAGCCCTAAAGCCCTAAAGCCCTCAACCCAAAAACCCCAAAAACCGAAAAACCCTAAAAACCCTTAAACCCAAAAACCCTAAACCCTAAAACCCTAAAACCCTACAACCCTAAAACCCCCCAAAACCCGAAAAATCCTTAACCCCCCAAACCCTAAGCAGGCGCACATCGACTTCCAGTGTGGCCCACGACATGCCCGTCATGGACTCGAGTGCCTTCACTGAGTTAGCAATCAGGTAGGGTTTAGGGTTTTAGGGCTTTAGGGCTTTAGGGTTGTAGGGTTGTAGGGTTGTAGGGTTTAGGGTTCGGGGTTTACTTGGGGTTTAGGGTTTGGGGACTCCTTGGACCCAAGATTTTGGAGAAGTGCACGGCAAAGGTTTTAGAAAAAAGCGGTGGCTGTTCAAGGCGGCCTCTCTCGCTGGGCACGTCGTCCTCATTGAAAAGCAGTTGGCCTATCTAGACTCCAAAACCCTGGACCCTCCACAGGAACCTCCGACCTTGCTTCAAGACATGGCGCGCCCCTCTAAGCGCAAAGCCCAAAGCCCCTGAGCCTGGCCTTGCCCCACGAGGAGGAAGCCTCCAGCGCGGAGACCTGCAGTCACAAGGCCCAGATTCGCGAGAGAGGCGAGGAGTCAACTAGTTTGGTTGAGGGGTTTGGGGTTTAGGGAATCCTGGAATTCTCAAACCGCTTTTGAGTGTACTGATGATGAAGTGATGATGAAGTTTTGGCAAGCTGAGAAGGGACGGGCGGGGGGGAACCGTAAAATCCTTGATCATCTCTTTCGGACGACCTCCTCTTCGGCGTCAGGCTGTACAGATGCAGGTGCTTTTCAGTCCGTTCAGCTGTGGTCTTTCCTACCTCCATAGGATCTATAATCCAGAAAACCTAAACAGCCCAAGACCCCTAGAAATGGTCTCAATGTTCGGAGCTGAGTCAGAGCTCACGATGTCGAGGATTAGGGGAATTTGTGTAGGACCTCCGGCCCTCTTCAGATCTTCGGCCCTCATCGCTCTCGTATCTCTTCATGCTGGTCCAGCTCTGGTGCACCCAGACTCTCAACTCAGATGATTCGGAGTGCAAAGCTGAAAAAGAGACGGAAATCTTTATCACTGGTTGGTCCGCCCTCCACATTATTCATTATGCTTGTCGCTGGTCACTCCGCTCTGCCCCGGTCTCTGCATGGTGGGGCTGCCACCGCCGCGTTGAACGAGGTCATCGTCGGGCGGATGGCGCGGCTCGAGAGCGTCCCCAGCCTGAGCGCGCTTGACAAAGTCAGCTCACGAGCCAGGCTAGAAGCACTAGTATCTACAAGATTGAACCAACAGCCCCTAGGACCATAGATTCCATTTCTCCATCAACCGCCCAAAACTACACTTGACCTGACTCCCCCCCGAACAGCAACACAGCAAACAAAGCACAGGAGACCTGAGGAGCCCGCGCCCCCTGCGCCCAGCGCCACTGCGCTGCCTGCTTGCAGCAAACGCACTAAATTAAACCCCCGATAGACCCGAAGTGGGGTCGAAAAAAGCAAAAAAAGTCCCCAGTATAGGGAACTGCTTTTTTTGTCGGGATCCGATTTCTGGGTCTACAAGCAGAGAGGGGACAGTGTGGCCTTAAATGGTGAACGGTTCCCAGCCCTTTGGGTCGCCTCTGCTTCGTGCCGCACCATACTGGGGACCTACCGATTGGTCCATCTTTGATATGCCTTAAGTTATCTAAGTTGTTTGCACTCCTTTCGGCCCCTGCATCTGAATCCAAGAAAGGGTTTCAGAATGTGCTTGGACAGGGGCCGCTCTTGCAACAAAAATGCAGTTGTGAAGAGCTCGGCTCGTCAGCCAAAAGCAGAGTCTGGAGCAAGGATTATGTATCGTCGGGTTTGCAGCTTCGGGCTGCATTTGCCCCATAATCTTGGTAGCCCAGCAACCTACTATTATAAAAAGGGCACCCTTGCTACTTTCGAAGGAAACCCAGATCCAAGAAAAGGGCAAAGGGCACCACTAGGCTACTAAATAGTTGGGTACCTGGAGTGCAACAGAATGCTGAAATCTCGACCTTCTCGCAGCAGCTGACGCAGGCGCCCACGGTGATGTCGTCCACCTGCCGCTGGTGAGACTTGGGCAGGTTTTGCTGGGCGCTGCATCTGAAAGGCGGTCTCGTTGTTCTTCTCCCCACGCCACTTTGACTTAAGTCACTTGGGGGCTTGAGTGCAGGGCTTCGTGAGAGGCGTACAACCTTCCTGGCTGGTTTTTGGAGGTTAGCTCCTTGCGTGCAAGGTCGGCTTGCAGGGCTCTCCATGCTGCAACCTTGGTTCAGTATGCCTGAATACACTAGTCTGCCGAGCTGCCTAAGCCATCAAAACATGTATGCCTCATTGAAGCCGAGTCTGAACCCAGCAACAAAATCACGCAAACAACACGAGAGTCCTCCAACTGACACACCCACATCTGCCTGTTGGCTTCTTGGAAG